TGCATTAAATTGAATAAAGATGGTCTGGATAGCCCACAGACATACCATAAACATTTCTATGACCCATGATTGGTCTCCTTTAACAATGTAACATAACCATCTTAACCCAATTCTGAAAATTGTTATTTTACTCATAGTTTGGTTTATTGGTTTACTAAAACAATACTAACAATTTTAATATCTTGTTCAGATTAAAGATGATCCAGATAATGGAAGTGAAATCCAGGATGCAGCTGTGGCTACAATCATCAGTGTGTGAATGTGTGTGTGCATGGGGGAATGTCTGTAAGTGTAAAGCGCTCTATAAGTTCAGTCCATTTACCATTTATTTATTCCTCCACCAGCTTCCACCACTATCCACCTATATCATCAGCCTTCAGCATTCGCAACCATCATCTGCCAGCCCGGACCATGAATGTGCCAGTCAGGTACTAAACTCCTGGGCCACTTTTTTGCCCCAGTCCGCCACTGGCTTGAATTATTTCACCAATCAGATTGAGCCCTTCATGATTTTGGCCAACCCCATAGAGCTCTTTACGTTAGATGCCCTCACCCTACATAAATGAGTGGATAGTAAAAAATGCAAGCTTAGTGTGAGTCAGAATGGCTAAGAGCAAGACAAGTGAGGAAACTGTTGACGACAAAGAACTCGTGGTTAAAAAAACAGCACGTCTCTTATTTGAATATATTCTGTTATATAAACACAAGACATACCACAACTGTTGTCTCAGCAGTTGCCTAGATGCATTAATTTTTTTTTATAAAACTGTCATGTTGGAATGGAAATTATGCATTTGTTATGCTTTACATTTTTCCTTTGAACCAAGAGTAGAAAGACATCAACACTACACACTTAAGTGTTTGTTCATTTATTGCAAATCATATAGTCATCGCAGTGTTAAGCACTGTTATTGTACATCACAGGTTTTCCTGTGAATATTGTGCAGTCCTAGTTAAAAGCAACAGCAAGGACCACTGAGTTATCACAGCCCCCAAACATGTCCTTAAGTTAAAAATTGAAATGACATTTTCACCTTATACACACTCACTGTGGTGTTCTCTGTTCCCCAACATGTTCTAGGACACAGTGACACTAAAGCTGAAGATAATGCTAACCTTACCAAGCTGTCCTCTGCACTAACCCCAACACACACTTTTACACATTGGAACAACAGCAAACTATCATTATTTAAAAATAACTGACTACTCATTGTTTTCTGTCTGAAAGGCCACTGTAATGCCAGTACTGGTGATGGTGACGTATGATGACATCATGAGAGAGTAAAGCAACAGGTTACGGAATATTAAGGCAATAAATACTCACCAGGAAGACTTGATTAGCACTTTCGCTGAGTGTGGAGTCATCAGGGCTGTCTACTGGAGTCTGGCTGGTGAACTTTGAATCAAACTGACTTACATCATCGGCTGATTGCTGCCAAAACAAGTGAGTCAGTTAGTCACCCCACAGAGATAATCAGGTCGTCACATCATTGTTACAGCGGGTAAAATAGGTATTGAACACATCACAATTTTTCTCAGTAAATATATTACTAGAGGTGCTAATGTCATGAAATTTTCACCAGATGTTGGTAACAACCCAAGTGATCCATACATACAAAGAAATCAAACCATAAATGTCCAGAAATGAAGTTATTTGTAATAATGTGGAATGGCACAGGACAGAACTCTGATCTTTAGTTCTTTCCATAGATTTTCTGTTGGATTCAGGTCAGGTGATTGGC